AATTCATGTAATACACGTTATTGAAACAAAATTTCACATTTTTTAGCTGATGAGTACATTGACAGGATAGGCAGCAGAATCGTCCCATACAAGGAAAAACACTTCGACAACCAACACATGGGTTCTCTCAAATTAGAATCCTCTCTTTTCAGCAAGTCGTGTAGAAACGATTCATGTGTCATTGACTATGTGTGGTCTCAGGTAAGAGGAAAAATGGGGTTTAAGACATAATTATGACAAGCTTAAGAATGAGATTTTCGGTTGTGTATCTAATTCCCCAAAAATAACCAAAAAATAATTCATTAAATGAGCGAAAGAATGTCGTGGAAATGTGTCTATCCACGCTTTTGACAGCATATACCGAAAATTTATTACATTCACAAACTCAAACTCGAGAACGGATGTCAGTTAGGTATACGTTGTTAAAGACCATCATTGTTTTCTCATTACTGATGAAAAATTGAAAATGGTGGCATCCAAAGCCATTCTGGGTGTGTGTAATGACCTGTTAAAACATATGGCTGATTTGAGATTGTCTAGACGCCATGAAAATGTCACCCAATTAAAGGCCATCGATGAGATAACCAATACAGACAAAGAAACCACATTATCGTGTTGCCAGATGGAGAAAAAATGACAGAAGGTATTGAAGCTCACATATCGAAATCTAACTTTTATGTTGAATATTTGCATTGGAATAACAATGGCCGTTTAGATGGTTTCATTAATCACAGTGACAATATGTGTTTGTATAAATTCTCACACTGAAGAAGATGCTTAGAAAGATGGCAAAAGGCTATAAGTTAAACGTTCGTTGTAATCCCTTGAAAACTCGTAAAAAGGTCGAAAGCAATGTAAAAACAATACAAAAATAGGAAATGAAAAATAAATTAGAGAAAGAATGGCTAAATTGGACAAAAACAACGATAAAAGACGATGAAAAACGCTAACAATCATATTTTGACACCATTATTGACAAAAAATGACACTTAAATATAGTAAGATGCAACGAGAATAAGCAATGACAAAAAGCAGGTATGAAAATAAAATTGATTAAGGAACTTACTCTTTATTTTGATTAACATTAAGTTAATGTCTTTTTAAATAAAAATTTATAACGATTAGAATCAAAAGGAAAAAATGAAAATGCACGCTGAAACGTGTCAAAAACATTATTTGTGTTGTGACTGGTTAAAATTATGCTCATTTTCACGCGATTGTGTCAAATTGAAATACAGCCTCACATACTTCTTATCATTATTTGCGTTATGACTGGTGCAAATTATACTCATTTTTATGCCATTGTGCCGAAGCAACCCCCACCAAATGCATTTTTCGAGGCTTGTTCACTTTTTAAAGAGAAAAATTTTGATTTGATTTGCGAGTCTTGTTTACTTTTTTTATGAGATTTTTATGTGATATTATTGGAGGGATTGCGACACTTGTTCACTTTTTGATTGTGCAAAACTACCCCTAAAAATGTATTTTTTGTGTTGCGACTCGTGTTGCTTTTGCTTTTGAAAAAATGGTGGGAGTTTTTAGCATGACAGCACTAGCAGTTATATGTGTATGTATTATTTTCCACACTCAATTATTCCTAATCCAAGAGACCTTGTTCCTATAGATAGGGGTTTGGTTACCACAACGACAATTCGAACTGAGACTATAGCCTGTTTACTCAGTCAGTTCTCATCACGGAAAATTTCACCCACCTGTTTGTGTAATTCTAATAAAACATTTTCTTTATTTTTGTATATTCTCTCGGTAGGTGGTGTGAACTATGTATTATGGAAATTTGCATTCAGCCTCAATACAAGTAAGAAAAGACATTATTGATTAGTCTTGTCAACTGCTAACCTGGTTATCGATCACCCTTTCTCTCCTTTCATGTGCGAGGTTCCATGGAAATCTTAAGTTGAAAATGACAGATGAAAATGAAAAACAAAAAAAATTTAAAAATAAGAAGGTCGTATATATAAGAAGGGAAATCACACCTGATGCTGGTTCATAGAATCATCAACTGCGCGCTCTCCTTTGTGTTTAATTCACAAGTCACAATTTAATTTTTGCTCATAACCATTACAATTTCCTCAAATATGATTGATGCTTCACCTACTTTATTTTTCACTTATTATTCTGCAGAATTGTAATCGGACAATGTAATCTGACAGTTGGCTATAATTGAACAGTTAAAGAAGCCAGTCATACTTTAAGTCCACTCAGTTAAATCCACCAACCACAGAATTGATAAAGTAACCATAGTAACATTCAACTACTTCCCAACAAAATTGGGGAGTTTCCAAAGCTGTTGGAATTTTGACTCTAAACAATGTTTCTTTTGGAGATGTTTTCGCCATTGTCAATTTTGACTCACTTCCACGGTTTCCTGAAAGGCTGAATGGGTGGAACGTTGGAAGGGTAGATGGCTGGATGGCTGGCTGGCTAAATGATGGCTAGCTGGATAGTTGGCTGGCTGAATGATGGCTAGCTGGATGGCTGGAAGGCTGGATGGATGGCGAGATAGCCAAATAGGTGGGAGTCTGGAAGGATGGCTACATGGCTGGATGACTGGATCGCTGACTGACTGATTGACTGTTGATTGACTGATATGTTGATTGTTCAGAATTCTATGATGGACTGATTAATTGATTCGTTTTATTCTTCTTTTGCCCTGAATTATTGCAGTGTATCAGAAGGTTTCTTACCAAACATTTTATGCAGAAAATGTCTTTTACGAGGAGAAAACTGTACATAATCTTGGAAAAGCACGATACCAAATGGACCTTGTTAAATCGGAACGTTTCTCCATCACCAATGAATTTGCTGCTGCTGTCTGTAACTTACCACAAATATATGACCGGATGGCTTACCACAGATTTATAAAGGATTGGGGGACGGTTGGTTTCTGAATTAACTTTGTTTCCTCATTAACTTTTAATTTGAAAGGATTTGGCCAGGTTTTATTTGGTCAGGTTTTTACCATGGCCAGTGTGTCAATGAAGAATACGTGTTTGAAAATTTTTGAGTTATCTATATATATATATTGTCCCCTGAAATTGCAAAATATCTGAGTTGCCCTTTCTTTTTTGAACCTCTTGACGATGTATAATTACATTGATTTAAGTTGTGTAGGTGTCTTAAATTAGCCTCACAATTTTTTGGCACATTCTTTGCATGCATGTTATCCTTTTGTTTGGCTGAAAGGATAAATCCGTCTACAATAACAAAAATGTAACAATTAGGAAAGCAGTTTTCAATGTTCTGCAGCTGACTAAAGATAATGTTTGCGCTACAGTGATCTGTTTTTTTTTTTTAATTTCATGTGTTTTTGCCTTTTTAATTTACGTATTATAATTTTCGTTTTTTTCCACTTATAAAGGGGTTAAGTTTCCAAAGAGAGTAACACCAGCTTTGAAACTCTTTACGGAGGCCAATTCACAATATCAACTCACTTGATAATACCAAATTACCTTCATTTCTCGCTGTTTGGTACTAACCTTCTAAGCGGCACTCCCCCCTTCCCCAATGGGGGATTCGTAAGAATCTTCGGTTTCTGTTAGCGAACAGGTTTGCCGTTCCACACTACACATTCAAACAGGAAACTGATTGGTTGCAATAATGTGGATGTGTTGAGGTACATTTATGTTTCTGAATTTTTGGTTGAAATATACTCAAGATAAACTCATCTCAATTTTTCATAAACTTTCAAACAAAGTTATGTGTATAGAAAGTTATTGATTATTTGTTTGGATACCAAGAATACATTTTCCTTAATACATGTCAAGTTGACCTTGTCTACATGATGTACATGCACCAGAACCCAGTTCTCTTGGTTATCAAATGTGGGTTGTTTAACAGCCATACGTGAAAACCCAATTTTTTCATAAAGGTGCTTCTAATAGAGATGATAATTTTGATGATATTGATAATAATAGGTTCAAGGTTTCCATCAAGACGCTTTTAATTACATTATAGCGTGTTTCGTCCTAGAATTTAAATGAAGTAAACAGTACAGTAGTAAGGTAACTGAGTCAATGAGATACTTTTCAATTTATCTATTGGAACCCGCCTGTAGAATAATTTAAACTAAACTACAGTCTGGAGAGCGAATGTATCTTTTTGTAAGAATTTTATTATTTTCCTTACAGCATATTGTCAGCGAGGTGGAACTTGGAACCAAGAAGATTGAACGCTACAAGAGTTCGTATGCTGATTTCGTCAAGTATGCGATGAAACATGTGAGTTTCTGCGCTCACTGAAATTGATTTCTACCAAGCAACAGTATGAAATAGATTTTGTTGCTCGGCGTTCAACTGTTCTTGTTTAATTGCCCTTAAGGCAAAGTCGCATTTCATTTGGTTCCAACTCCTTGGTGAGTGCCAACTTACTATTATGCTCCAAAGAGCCATTCTGATAACGAGAATAAATTAGGCAATAACCTGCAGGTTTTGGTCTATAGAAGCTCCTTGGAACATTTGACGTTGAGCTGTGCACCGATAACTCAACGGAAATTTGAAACATGAGTTACTATTCAATTCTTTGATTCCATGATGCCTTTTGACGACAATTTATATTAGCTGCGTAAAACAAATACATATGGTGTGAACAATTACCGATAAATCGTTACAGACTGTAACGAAATCGAAAGAAAAACATAAAAACCTACTACGTCGACTATGTTGTGTGTCTTTGCTCTGACTTTTTTTGTTTCTTTCCCATAGGTGAAAACCGCGGTGTCTATGTCTGTGTCTAGCGAGTACCGAAGGTATCGTAGCTCTCTCTCCGTTGACTCTAAAAGGTTCACGGCGTCCATGACAACTGGCATTTCATTTGGAAGTGACAAAGTCATGTTTCAGTGTGGTACAAGTAACAACCCTGAGCCCATTGGAATGAGGTTGATTTCTATTGACCAAGCATTTGACGACAGCTTCTTCAAGGCACTTAGTAAGAAATACAAATGTCAGAATTTGGCACAACGGAGATTGAACGTGAAAAAGATTTTGGAAGAATACCCAGTCTTAGAAGGAGCTAAAATATATCCTCAAGGTATCATCACATATAGATTCCTATTTTAAAGCTATGTGTGCGCCACTATTTGTACAACTTGAAACATTTATGTTAATTTGTTTTGGTTGGCACAATTGCTACTTAAAGTCTTCTTCAGCGCTACCAATCAGTAACAGCTATCTTGGTATATTCTTGAATGATATTCGTTAAGATCCTCATTAACCTTCTTCATCATCTTCTGATGATGGGGATCTAATTTTTCCTGGCTAATGACCATGTTAATGAAATAAATTTGGTCTTGAGCTCGCAAAATTCCAAAAGAATCTTGGTGTAACCACTTATTTTATTGAGATAGTTAGGTTTGAAATCTGAAAAGTGCTGACGTGGTACTTTTGAAAGATTTTCGAACAAATAGTCCGTATTGTGATATGAAAAGCTTTCAACTGATTGACTAATATTGACGAAACAATTGACGTTTCTTTGCTTTACTGTTTATTTTTGGACCATAAAAGAATCGTTGAACTGACTTCCTAGATTTTTTTTTTGTGAACATTTTTCTTTGTTGACTTAAATTTCGTGTTCAAAAGACTTTTTCTCTCTTTTTTCCAAATATATCTTTAAGAAGGCACGCATTTTTCAGCTTCGGTGAAGAAACATAGTCTCGGGTAGCAACGTCATTAAGAGCGTATTCCTTCGTCTAAAATAACGTGCAACTCTGTAACTATGTTAAAGAGTTGTCGCATTAAAGGTTTCTTGGAATTTTTTTAGATCCTATAATCCGCATTCCTCTTACTTGGCCACTGGGAAAATACGGACTTCCTATGGCAAAATCAGGATGTCCAAATGGAGGTTTTTGGCACACGGGCTGGCGATACCACGACACCGAAGATAAAGACCCAAACAATCATTGGTCAAACCCCTACGATTTGTCGGGACGTGTTGGCAAAAGTTACATGAATCAAGAGTTCTGTATAAAGACAAAGTCTCGAACATCCAGGTATAATATGCCATGGCCTGAAGGAAAATATTGTATCTTTAAAAAAGAAGATTGCCCTGCAGGTTAGTTGAAAAAGTCCTTTTTTAATGAAAATGTTAATAAATTTTGGACTTTTCCAATTGTTTTATGGTGAGCATGGCGAAGCTTCTTTTCTCACAAGCAGTATAAATTATGTAACATGCTTATCTTTAATTCGGTCAACAAAAATTTCGATATCCGCTATCCGTGATTGATTACTTTTTCCGCCAAGATCCATGCCTTAAATCCTCTGGTACGACTCTTTCCAAAAACATAACCGTCTGCGGCCGTTACATGTATTTTCATACCTTAAATGCAGATCTTGAATCAATCAAGCACAAGGCCTACCCCTATGAAGGAAAAATATTGATTTCAACCGGAATTTTTTGCCTTTGAAGTCTTATTCTTGCACCTTATTCGATGGTTTAATATATAATACACGTGGGTATTTTGCGAGTTGGGGCAAAGAAAGAACGGCAATAAATAAATTTTCCACCTATTTTATCTGTTAAACCATCGAATAAGGATTTATTATTCCGCTATTATTTCATTTTCTAGGCCTCTAGTTTTACAAATGCTTCTTACGACCTTAGCTCAACAACGTATCGATCGCATAGAAACAACAAAAACGAAACCATTTTCACAAGTATTTTTATTGCCAACAAAAATATCTTTTAAGTTTAAAAGTTAAGTCGTTGCTTAAAAAGGCAAGCCGAAAAACCCGAAAGAAATCAAAGGTTGAAGCGTTCAGTGCGGTCATTTTTTGGCTCCGTTTTCTGCCCGTGTTTTTTTCCCTGTTCTACGATGTAAAACCGTCGCATACTTTTAGCACTCCGTTGCCCTGGTGTGTTCAAATGACGTAATCGTGAAATGATAAATTATAGAAGTCGTAACTCACATCTTCCCTCAAATAAATGATTCAATTCAAGCGTAATGCTGCGCTAAATTTTTGCTGCACAGATTTCGAGGAGGCATACATTCGTTGGGATGATGAAGATGACGATAACAGAAATGAAAGAGGTGGCACGCTTCCGGAAGGTCATTACAACTATAACACTCGCATCGAATACTGTTGCCGTACGGATGGAGATGCCACAGAAGCCATTCGCCTTCCAACTGGCTCACCGTTTGCGCTGATAAAGGCTAACATCCACTTCTGTCAGGAAGTGGTCGGAATGAGACACAGATCAGCGTATTTTTACTGGGACACCGAAGATCACAAACCGAATGCCGCCATACACGGACCGATCAACGCTGAGTTGGATTCACACCGTAATATAAAAGTTCACTACTGTCATTACACTTAACCCAGTATCAGTGCCCCACTCGCAGCCACAGACGTAACTGATGCCTCAAGAAGATTTCGCCTTGTTTTTAGACATTAGAAGTGAACGAGAAAAATAAAGGGAAAGTAAATTGTAAACTAGCGTCAGAAGGCGCTTTTGAGATCAGAAATTAAAGCTAACATGGTGCTGGGTCAATTGATCTGATGCCTCAATATTCTTGGTAATACTGCAGCTTTTGGAGCACTGGTTTAATCCAAAGGTACCAGACTTCCTGGCCGCATATTATGTAACGAGTGTTTGTTTGTATTTTTGGTTTTTCTTTGTTTGTTTCCCTGGTTTATCTTTGGCATGCCGACCATATTCCGCTCTTTGTAATCCAGTATATTTTTTCCTTCGTGTCAATGACAGCATTCCTATGATGCAGTAAGAAATGATAAGAGCGAGACTCAAGTTCGTACAATCTTGACGTTGATTTAGGATGACAAGACCGTTTTCATGCTTCTTTACATAAATGACGCACAGCTTAAAATCGGACGCAGTTTTATTCATGTATGCTTTCCTCAATGGTGTTTTGAGGTCACGAACCCTACGACCAATGGTGTTATAATTAGATCTTGATTTTTAAAAGTTTGGACTTCAGGCTGGCCTTTTTTTCTTTTTTTTAAATTTATTTTACAACATTTTACCACTTCAAGGTCACAGTCCCTTACCCATTTTTCTTGACTCTTTCGGGGGCTAGAACAATTTTTTTGTATTAGAATTTAATGCGCTAATTTAGTCGGCTTGGTGGCTGCAATCTGCTTTTGCACCGAAAACCCCTGATCCTTTCCATCTGGAGTTTTCAATTTCAAAGACTTCATAGCTCTCCTTATGGCCGTGGTTACTCCATAAAATTCAAGGAAAGAGGCGGATAAGCAGTATTTCTCTCTAAACTCTCCATAAGTTATGACCTTAAAATCATCGTTAACAAGATCTTTGATATTTTGTACACCAGCTTCTGCCCAATGCTTGTAGAAAAAAAAAGGCCTATCAGCAATTCTGACTAATGAGTTATTCCATACTATACTACTACTACAAAAGTCGTGTTTGGAGAGGAAATAGTCTCTAAAATTAAAGTCCACCCAGATGTCGATAAATTTTCGGAGGAAGTCCTCCTTGATATCATGTTTCGTAGCGTCTTTTTTTCCAAGTTCCCAAGAAAAACTAATTTTCCTCCCCATTTTGAAAGAAAGAAATCCCCAAAATTTTTCCATTTGGATTTACAATCATCAGAAATATACGTTACTATCCACGCGATCTTTAAAGAATTACTGAATGCTATGATGTCCAAAATGTTTTGACCACCATCGCCTTAGTCAGCAATCATTTTAGACCGTTTGATTTTGTCCCTTTTTCCATCCCAAAGAAATTTGAAAAGCAAACCATTTATTTCTTTAAACAATTTAAAACACGTAATGAGGACAAAATGTAGATCAATTGGGATGCAGCCAACATCTTTATAATTGTAATCTTTCCAGGAAGCGTTAATCTCTTGTTTTGCCAATTGTTAAGAACATCTTTATCTTTGTGAACCTTGTCTACATAGTTCATTTTCATTTCTTCATTTTGGTCCGTACAAAACCAAACACCTAAAGCCTTGACTTTACCATCCACCTATTTCAAGTTTTTTTGTGGGCACATAATTTGATTTGACCCTTTCTTTGATCCTATCCAGAGAACTTTAGTTTTTCCACAGTTAACTCGCAGGCCAGACAGTTGGCCCAAACTGTCTAACAAAGCAAAAGACCTCTCAAGTGACGCTTGTGAACCATCCAATATCATCGTGGTGTCGTCCGCACACTGACTTAATTTACACTCGACATTTCCTACAGAGATTCATTTTATCTCATTGTCTCCACGAATAGCTGTAGCTAACACCTCGACACAGAGAACAAATAGGTAAGGCGAGAGCGGGCAGCCCTGCCTTACACCTCTACCTAAGCTAAAGAAACTCCCCGACCATCCATTATTTATTTTGCAGCTTTGGACATCAGAGTAAAATAAATTAGCCAGTTAATTAAAGAGGAACCAAAACCAAAATGCTCCAGCGTTTTCCGCAAGAAAGTCCACAATAGTATCAAATACTTTTTCGAAGTCGATGAACAGGAGTAATCCAGGAATATCTTTCAAGTGGGCTCCTCCTCCTCCTCCTCCTCATCATCATCATCATCATCCTCTTCATCTTCCTCATACTCTTGGTCCTCCTCATCATCTTCCGTTACAAATTCCATCTGCTCCCATTCTTCTCCCCTCTCCTCTTCACTCCAGTACTCAATCCCTCCCTCTTCCTCCTCATCCACTTCCTCTCTTCTCACCTCGTCCTGGCCACTGGGCAACACTTCTGTAAATTAAAAAAAAATGCCTGTCACCTATCAACAATATGAAAATTTTGTGGATTAATTGCCTTGATCCTGAACTTTATTATTAACTATAATTTATTTACAATGAAAAGTGGTTGCCAACTCACCATCAAAAAAGAATAATTCGTCTTCCGAATCTGAAATAATTGCTGTGTCAGCAGAATGATAGCCGCTGGGATATTCCTCACTTAGAGGGTCTTCTTCTGTGGTGATGGGGCCACCAATGAACCCCCATCCCCAAGATAATTGCCTTGCTTCTTCAAATTGAAATAATTAACAAAAATAAAATGTTTAATGGAATTCTCAAATTTCTTCTATAATATTTTTAAACTGTTCAAACACAACCTTGAAAAGTACTTTGTTAGTTACCTGATGAATCCCTTTTTCTCTTTACTCCTGTAAATTCAGAAATAATTAGATAAATTATTCATTCTTATTGATTACCTTGTCAAATTTTAAACAATTTTATCAAATTATGCCATTTCCTTAGGGTTCAGAGTACTAGTTTACCTTGATTCAGACCACTGAGTCCAGAACTTCCTGGAACAGGAAATATCTCACTGAAATGAGATAAATGTGAAAATCAGCCAGCCCGGGTATGGTAAAGTTTAGCCATTTTACACCGCAATTACTTATCCTCTGGCTTGACCATGGTGGTATCAGTAGGAACTCCCGCTTAGGTCACTTCAGTCACTAAACGGACCCTTCAAAATCTTGACTGAATACTTTTTTATTGTGTATAATCCGCTAATTAGGAAATGTCAGCTCGAGAATAAATTTAGACATTTCACTAAACCACCGGCGGGTTTACAAGCTCTTACTGTGAACTATGATGTGTTGATCGACTAAGAAATACTTTCGTGTTTACAAACTCAGATAAGTCGCAGGCAGAAGTACTTAATACGGGTGCATTTACTTCTCACTTACCATGCCTCGTGCCCTGCTTTCTCCATGATCGATGAACGGACCACGCTTTTGACACTGACACCACACAAGAAGTTACTGGTATCGGTGTCAAATTACCACGTTCCGGTGTTACATAATTTTAGGGCAAAAATGAAAAGGACATTTTCCAGGACACGCTAGCAGGTTTAAGGCTCATTAGCAATCTCAACAAAACGCAAGGCTAGTTCAGACGAGCGAATGGGTAAAAAGTTCCTTGAATAAAGGTTATTTTAGGTTATTTCAGTGATACACAGGGATGCATAGAATCAGCGCGATCTGAGAGTGAGGCGTAGGCGAACTTTCGATTCAAATTGAAGTGGCTTGAATACAGATCTTTTTTTAGGCAAACAATGAATGCAAAAAAGGGCTAGATAAGGGAAATAAAAGAGTACCACACATTCGATTTGGTCATTGCTTTCTTATATTTGGTGGCTCCTAAAGGAGCCGTTTGTTGAAGTGACTACCCAGCGGTAAGTCAATGTTTTCTACTTGGCGACTGATCTTGGTTTCGCCTAGGTTAGTCTCGTGCGCTCCTTGGGCTTTCGCTCGGCTTGCTTGTTCCGCTCACGGTAGAACGAGATCTTTAGAAGGGTTGAACCGAATACTACTTTCCGCACCACGTCTTTACAAGCGACGGGGGCTCCATTCCCGCCTTGACAGCGCAAACACCCCGAATGATCAAAAAACACTTTCTTGCGCTCTACGAGAGCAATCTCGACGGGCCTGCCGGGCTGCAACCGACAAGTCGTGGAGGTTTTGAAAGTATTTAGTGACCATCCGGCAGGCATTATGGCGTCAAGCTCGTGAATGGGCACAGAAAACTTTGTCACTTGCAAAAGATTTGGCGCGGAAGGAAGATCACCGAACAACTCTTTAAAGGTCTCGGCATCCATCGGCATGGTGACAGACGAACGTCTCACGATGCTGGTTGTTGGCGGTTTCTTCATGTTCAGCTTTTCTGCCACTAACACAGCTAAGGTCTGCAGCAAGCCTGGAGTTCCTTGGTGGCGTGTCCTAAACACTTGTTTAAGGCACTCGTTTGTGTCGGCTTCATCCACCCAGCTATCGTTCTTCTTTCCATAGCCACGCCAGCGGACGAGGTACTGAACGCGACCGTGGGAGTCTGTACGCTTATCGAGCACTTTCGAGACTTCGTAAAACTTGCTCATGTTCTTAGCTATTCTCTCAGTAAGGGATAATCTAAAGTGATTATGACTTGCGTTTACGAGGCCTTTATACGCAAGTACCACTGATAAAATTTATGACCTTTTGAACTGCAGAACAATACCCTCAATTAGTGAATGGCCCGTCCCCGTTTATTTTTGAACGGCGTCGCGTGAGCGGATAAAAAAAAAAAAACAAATCTACGAGAAACGTGAGCGCGCGCAAGGAAGGGAGTCGTTTCGAAAAGTAAAAGGAACAAAAAACGACGGTTTAAACAAGCAAGTTCAAACAAGTCACCATTTTTTTTTTCACTCACCTAATGCAGTGACGAACATTTTTTGTTTAAGAACTTGTGGCCAACCGGAGAATAAAGTCACTGAAACGGAAAAAGGTGCGAAAATCGCACCTATTGTTTTGCCTTCAACAGCGAGGTTTATTTGCTTCAATAGACCAAAAAACAAAAACGCGAGCCTGACAATAGTCTAAGAAAACCAAAACCAACCCGCCTTTCTACACACTCTCAACATCGATATTTTTTTAATATAACCAGAATTTGTGGCATTGAAGTCGATAGTGAGTTCCTCATTGACAACGCAATAATATCGGTTGGTATTTTGTTCGCTTTTTCTTTTGGCTTGCTGTATGGAGCCTTCCAAACAAAAGTCCCAACAAAAAAATGTGCCAGAGTGTGCTGCCGGCCAACTACGCAACACCCGTCATTGACCAAGCGAAAATGAAACTCTATAAATTTAAACCGCTAATCGTCATAAACTGCTCACCCCTGACGCTACTGTTTATATTCCTATCTCATCTTCCATACTGCATCAGCCAATCTGCCGCTCAAGTCCTTTTACCTTGCCTTTCGCACTTCAAGCGGAAAAAGTGAAATCAGTCAAACGTAAAAAGGTGCGAAAATAACACCTTTTTGTTTTCTTGGCTTGCATACTCTTTTATACTCATCGCGCTAATGGTTGAACATTGACAACGCGAGAAGAAATTTTCAGCAGAATACAATTTAGACTTCTGCGATCAGTCCTTAAGGCCTGCCTGCGTAAACGGGCCTTAAGGAAAACAAATATTGAGCGAACACAGCTTAACCGCGTCCTGTCCTGGCTTATAAGCTCTAGACCGCATTTTCAATCACTCCAAGCTACTCGCGGCCCCTTGCCGTGAAAACATGAACTGAAAACAAACTATTATGTCACAAGCGGCTGAATTCCAATTTATTTTATACTGACGGCTTATCTTGCCTCTGAAGAAGTCAGAGGAAGTTACTTCAAGAGAAAATACATTAACGGTCCGCTCGATTCAAACACTGTATGACAATCGTTACCCTGGACAATTACTGACTAACCCCCTGTTAGTCTGTTCAAATTTTCCCAAGTAGACTACCGCTGGGGGAAAATGTTATCGCCGACAATTTGCCGAATGAATCCGAATCAAGCAGAGTAAAAGCTCGTGATACTAAATAGAAAAGTCCCTAAGGATGGATAACAAAAGGCCAATTGTATTAAAAAATCCCAACCATAACAATAGGCAAAGTTTGATATGAAAAATTGCTCACGAAGGATATATTCAATAACAGTACAGTGAGTTCGCAACAGAAACTGATGAATGAATAAACAGATGGCGCCTTCCATTTTAACGTAATTGATCTTGTGGTTAAATACGGGGAATCGGCAACAGAAAATTGAGAACTCAACAAACAGATCCTATCTTCGAATTAAGGCAATATATTGTGGTTAAATTTCCTCCCCTTTTAAAAATTTCCTATACTTTTGCTTTTATGGTTGATAATGTTTGAGAGCCAAATTGTCAGAAAGGGAAAAAATTAGAGACAGAGTGAGTTAAGCCACAGCATACACAAGAAATTTTCCGGGAGCTGTTTCCTGTGATAGTTTCTGTTGCTTGGCATACGATTTATTTATTGAAATTAGACCCTGAGGGGTAAATCATTTACTACTTTTGTTCTTTCAAGTGTTTTTGTTCGCTATCATTCACGTTTCATGAGCTAAACCACGGTCTGCGGTCATCTGCCGCAGAATTGCAGTCATATTTACCTTTTAGTGTAAGCGTAAAAGGTGTCTGTGCTAGGGCGAATTTCACCCAAAAGGCTTCTACGACAACCGCAATAGCCAAAAATTCTCCTGACTTTTTTTCCTCTTTAATGGCTAAAAAAGATAAACAATTCATTGCTGAAACAGCTGTTGCATTCCAGCTTGGTGGACACAGATTTCTCCTCCTTGGATTTCGCCCACTGAAGAAAAACTGCATTTCTTTAGAGGTAAACTTTTTCTCTCGTTAGTGCGCTTAGTTATCCTTCTTCTGTCCTGATTCCTAACTTGTTATCATCATATCAGTTTGCTTTTCAAGTTTTTCATGGATGGTTTAATTCTAGCCAGTTACTTCGCTAAATATTCTGCATTTAGAAAAGGAAGCTGATCTGGTTTGTCGTCACAGCTTTTTTCTCCGCTTTTCAAGGCATAAAGCGCTACGCACGAATACACACTATGTTATGAATGGGATACCACTTTCCCACAATATTCTTTGTCATTTAGAAATCTGTGGCATAGTAGCGAAAGGCACTTATATCTAAAAAACCTTAAATCTAAAGTTCTTGCTGTAAACAAAAAGAAGGCACTCGCTCGCGCATAAAGAATTGGATAAGACCTAAAGAAACTCCATGACTTTCGCTTCCGAAATTTTTCCGCCCGAACGAAAATTTCTTCCATGGTAGAGAAAACTATTTATTCTGAGGAAATGCAAAAAAGGACGTGTCTTGAATAATATTAATAATAATAATAATAATAATAATAATAATAATAATCACTGTCTTGTCAATTTTATTCAAGTTACGAGAAAAGAATCATTTTCCAAACAGGTCAGAAGCATTCTAGAGCCATTTTTAAAAAGCTTTTGAGGTCATTTGATATCTGTTGCATGGTTATGAGATGAATGTTTACCGGTAACAGTCAATGCAGAAGCTATTGCTGACTTAACATATTTTTTGTGACACGCGAATTGCTATTGTTAACAGGCAAATCTCACTGGTAAAGGTCACGTGGTAGTATGTCAAGGTCACGTGGGGTAATCATGTTACAAGCAATGTTTACATAATTTTTTTCATTTCTTTTAATGGTAGTACTACGGTTTCAGTTCTTGGTCAACAAAACAAATTTTGCTCTTGCGAAATTATTTTTTTACAATTTTTTACTTTTGTACTTCGACAAACTTTATTTTCTCAAAATGGCTTTTTGTGCCAAATATAGAATCATGTTAGGCAGCGATATAATATCAAAGTTAAATTTCATCCGGTTGAGTTCCATATTACTCATACTAGTTTGTCTCGGAAACAACACGTAGCTGAGAACTCCAAATTGAAGGGAAAATACAGTGATGTCAGATGGGATATTTAGTTTGATCTTTTATGACGGAAGTGGCCACTTCTACAATATAAATATATCTTACTTTATTTCAATGGAACAAGAGTGAAAGATCAAAAAGTCTCATGTGTGTCCACCAAAAAGTGGTATGTACCATACACAGTAGCGATACATACACTACATGTCTCTCAGAGCAATTTTTTTTTAATCTCTTTCATGTTTGCTTTCTGCTTTACGAAACACTGAAAAAAAGGACACTAAGCTCCCAGCTGGAAAGAAATCCGGATGTGTTAAATGAGATTGGAGAAGGAAATCAAGTTTAAAAATTATCTGTTGAACGCTTGCCTTATACGGTAGAAATACGATCAATTCTCTCGGTTTTTAGCCAAAACCTTATAAACTCAAAAATCAGGGGCCTTCCACTTCCACGCTCTTTATGATACTAAGAGAGTCTTTGACACAGCAATATTGAGCGCTCCTAAATATTTAAATCACCCTTTCTGGTCTAGCTGTGTACCTTTTCTTCTGAAAGCACAAATCATTTACTTTCCGCGCAAACAACGCGCAACAGGAATTGAATAACGTAACATTTTCGCCGGCTACAACCCTCGAGTCTTTTGGACACGCAAACCTTGATAATGATAGATTAATCCCAGCCATTTCTCTGTGTGAAAATCTCTTTGAATTGAAAATGTCTAAGGGAATCTGCTTCCTCAGCACGAACTGTTTAGGGAGTATTTGTCAGCTTCTGTGAAAGCAAATAGACGATTTATTCAAATAATCCAGGACGGACATATCCGGAAAATCGGTTGTACATATAACTAGGAAAATCGCACTAAACCAGGTCGGATTCAAATGAGCCAGTCTTCAGTACTACCGACGTAGCTAATTTTTGTCTGAATCTTCTCCTTTGCACTTCTGATGATCTTTTTCCATGATTGGATGAACGAGTTTTGCCTGCCCCTTTGGTCTTCTCTCCATCGTCCAACCACCTGCTTTGCCCGTCATTTACGTGGTGAGTTCACAGGATATTCAGCATGATGCTCTTAACTGGCCACTTTGCATGTGACTGCAATACGAATAAATAAGTTATAAGCTCATTATCCGCATCACGTTTTCATTTGTTTTTTTACATAAGCGAAGTTCATTGTCTTGTTTATGAAATCAAGCGGAAGGTAAAACGAATCGAACCTCAAAATTCAGAACATTCATTTCATTGCTGATAATTTTCACAAGTGCAGCTTCTACTGAGTCTGAGCCGAGTCTACTGAAAGATAATTTCCATCTTTGAAGTATAACAGATCTAGCAGTTCTGAAGTTGTTTTGAACACCTCTCTTTCCTTGAGGATTTTCTGCGTTTGGTGGGAACTACTCTGTCGAATTCAGAACACCAATAAGGGTTTCTAGCTCAACATTCTATGGACACTCAGCCGTGTTTCTTTGTGGGCACTTTTACTGAAACTTTTTTTTTTCAAGAGAAACTCTGTCATTCAGCTGTAATACCATAAGTTAAATTGTTTTCAGATAGTCTGGGTTTAATACATGTCTAGGCGAGCAATCACAAAAACACCACGCTATGAACATGAACAGCATAAAGTCAGCTATATGCTGATATTGATAAT